AACTCTTGCAGTAGCCAGTGGTTCTGCTTATGTTGTGGCTTGCGGGGAAGTGCATTGAGGGCTGTTTCTTTTATGAAAAGATTTAACCTTGCACCTCAAACAATGTCTGCACGGTCAATGCTACCCTTGTGCTTTGCATTCTTTGCAGCTGAAACCTTGTCCGTGGTCGCATCCTCCACACTGGGACAGTGACTTTCCCAGATTAGAAGGTGGAAAAAGAAGACTCAGGAGGACATGTTCAATGAGTTAATACGTGCCTCCGAGAGTGACAAGACCGAGCTCAGTGCATGGAGGATTGCACTGTCGGAGAGCATGCACAGTGACTGCGAGGACTGGAGAGCATGCACGGAACACGAGTGTGATACGCAGGACGAGATGGTGCAGATTATGAGGGAGCAAACAGACATGTTGCGGCGTCTGGTTGAGGTTGAAGAAAAGCAGCTGGACGCTAGAGTCCCGCTACACCCTATGTTGAACCTGCTGCCTTTGTTGCCAAGTCCCACGTCCTTCTCTTCCAGATGTCCTAGGATGGTGGGAGTGGGGGGAGAGGGGAAACTCCGGTATCCCTTGTACTCAACTCCAGGGGAAGGTACAAGGAACAGAAGGTGCCCATTCCCACAGCTTTGATTGTTATTGCAGTACAAATTGTAAGCAACCTGTCCTTGTTTCTCCCCTACCTCACAGTGTTATCAGCCCCATAGCCCCAGTTTATCTTTACTTTTCTTTGCTGTCTCTCATCAGTGTTTGTGAGTGGTTTTTTTTTATTTTTTCATGGTTTTCCAATGGCTAACATGCAGAGGGGGTGGGACTCAGTGTCCCTGGGTGTTACTTGTTTAACGAGGTGAGGGGAGAGGGAGTTTGTTGTTACAGTGGACAGGAGAGGGAAATTGGGACCCCAGCCAATGTCCTGGAGGATGGACACCCCAGCAACTGGTGACCTGACGACCCGGAGACCCAGCTCAGGAGTCCAGCCGGTTCTGGCCAGTAGGAGGACAATGGGCTGCAAGGAGAGGACCCAAGTGACCTAACCAGCCGGTTCCAGCCAGAGGAGGCCAGACGACCCTGTTTACCTGGAAAGAAGACAATGGACAGAGGGGGGACTTGGGGCCAGTGATCTCAGATGCTCAGCTGGGAAGCAGGGGGGCTCTGGGCTGGAGGGAGGAGGCAGGCAGAGCCCACCTGGATGCAGGGGAGACTGGGATGTGCTGTGTTGAGGGAGGCCAGGCCCGAGGCCCTGAGAGTTTCCTGTGCTGTGTTCAACGCTCAATAAACCCTCCTGTTTTACGCTGGCTGAGAGTTACTCCAGTCTAGAGAACAGGGTTGCATCATCCCCTTCGGAGGGTGGAGGCCTCGGGGGTCCAGAGTGAGTGGACTCCCCGAGGGGGCCCACGGCAGAGACAGGTGTGCGAAGGCTCAGAGAGCTGCAGCTCCAGGAGGTGGAGGGGCCTAACCCCAAGAGAGAGTGGATCCCCGGGAAAAGGGCTGTCTCACTGAAAGGGGTGTCCCCCAACAGACCGCACAGGGCCAAGAGTGGGCACGATCTGTGAGTCCATGACAACGTGGTAGCAGAGGATGGTTGGCAGATGCACCCTGTAGACGTTTGGCTGCAGGCACAGGCGCTTTGCAGTGAGTGGCGGTCAGCGGTAGAACGAGGGTATGGAAAGGAACCAGCCTGGAAATGGCCTATCACCAGCTCCGTAAGAGCGACCTGGCGCGTCTGTGCAGGGAGAGGGGGCTGAGCGTGGGGAGGCTCACTAGGGAGCGGCTGATTGCTCAGCTTGTAGAGAATGACCCGTCTGAGGAACAGGATCCAAACCTCAGGGGGGCTCCTGGGGTGCCCGGGGAGCCGGGGGAGTAGCCATGGGGGCAGTCTGTGTAGCAACCAGGAGTCCATCAGACCCGAATCCCCAGTCAGCACAGGGAGACCCCAGTCAGGTTCCTCCCTAGAGGAGCTGCGGAAACTAGAGCTGGAGCTGAAAGCGAAGGAGCTGGAGCTGGAGGATCGGAGGCTGGTGGACAGAGAGAGAGAACGAGCGGACCGTGTAGAACAGTGGAAGCACGAGTTGGAGCTGGAGGAGCGGTGGGCCAAGAGGGCCTGCCGGGGGGTAAGTGGGGAAGGGCCCCAAGATGCCGGTGTTGGGGGGAGTCTAGACACCAAACTGCTGCCCCAGTTCCAGGAGGCGGGGGGGGGGGAGAATATTGATGCTTACCTCACAGCCTTTGAGAAGGCTTGTGATCGGAACCAGATTGACCCTGCAGACAGGCTCCGCTCTCTGACCCCCCTGCTGGGTCCCAAGACCTTAGAGGCGTTCAGCCAAATGGATGGTGTTGAGATGGGGGACTATGACCTGTTCAAACAGGCTTTGCTGCTGAAGTTTGAACTGACCCCCGAGGCGTACAGGAAACGATTCCGGGGTGTACGCAAGACCTCAGATGTCCCTTACAAGGAAGTCGCCAACCTGCTGGGGGAATATCTCTGCCAGTGGGGGAAGGGTGCAGGGGCCACTACTGCAGAGGATGTATATAACCTGGTGGGGTTGGAGCAGCTGTATGACATCTGCCCTCCAGACCTTAAGATGTGGCTAGTGGATCGGAAGCCCAAAGATCTGCGCAGTGCAGGGGCACTGGCAGATGAGTTTGCAGACAGCAGATCGGGGGCAGGAGGGAGACCCACATCGGGGACTCAGAAGGGGAGTCACCCGAGACCTGTTCAAGGTGGGACTTGAGGAACCTGAAATGTAATTACTGTGGCCAAAAGGGACACCAGGTGGCACAGTGCCTGAAGACGAAGGAAATGGTGGCCAAGCAGAACCCACGGGGTGTCAACTGTGTGGAAGCCCACCAAGAGGAGGCACCGCCAGTCCAGGGGGGTGCAGTCGAGAGGGTTGTGCCAGGGGGAGGGGGAGTGCCAATGTTATAGCTGCTGCTGTATCACGGGGCGGGGGCCCTGAACTTCCCCAGGTCACTGGCTAAGTGACCCTGCTCCGTTCAGCCTCGAAGGGGGGAGAGATGTGACAAACTTGTTTTTTTTTAATTTTTTCGTGGTTTTCCAATGGTTTGCATGCAGAGGGGGTGGGACTCAGTGTTCCTGGGTGTTACCGGTTTAACGAGGTGAGGGGAGAGGGAGTTTGTTGTTACAGTGGACTGGAGAGGGAACTTGGGACCCCAGCCAATGGCCTGGAGGATGGATACCCCAGCGACTGGTGACCTGATGACCCGGAGTCCAGCAGGTTCTGGCCAGTGGGAGGACAATGGGCTGTGAAGAGAGGACCCCGGTGACGTAACCAGCCGGTTCCAGCCAGAGGGGGGCGGAGAGGAGAGAAGGCCCAGATTTTATCTGGAAAGAAGACAATGGACAGAGGCGGGGTCTGGGGCCAGTGATCTTGGATGCCCAGCTGGGAAGCAGGGGGGCTCTGGACTGGAGAGGGGGAGCAGGCAGAGCCCACCTGGATGCAGGGAGACTGGGATGTGCTGTGCTGAGGGAGGCCAGGCCTGAGGCCCTGAGAGTTTCCTGTGCCGTGTTCAACTCTCAATAAATCCTCCTGTTTTATGCTGGCTGAGAGTCACTCTGGTCTAGAGAACAGGGTTGCATCAACCCCTTCGGGGGTGGAGGCCCCGGGGGTCCAGAGCGAGTGGACTCCCTGAGGGGGCCCACGGCAGAGACAGATGTGCTAAGGCTCAGAGAGCTGCGGCTCCAGGAGGTTGAGGGGCCTAACCCTGAGAGAGAGTGGACCCCCGGGAAAAGGGCTGTCTCACTGAAAGGGGTGTCCCCCCCCACGGACCGCACAGGGCCAAGAGTGGGCACGAATTGTGAGTCCGTGACAGTGAGCCTAATAAAAGTGAATGGATTGAGGAGAAAAGGCTCTTTATTCACTCAGCATACTGTGGTTAGCGGGTGTGGAGTTTTCAGGGGGGACATGCAATGAAGGGGGCAGCTTGGTAAAGAACAACACAAATAAGTTTCACATTATTGTGGGTCATGGATGAAACTACTTTTCAAAGCCTCATGTAGATGCATGCGCCTCTGTCATAGGTTTCACCCCCACTCTGGACTTTAGAGTACAGATATGGGGACCTGCAGGTGAACCCCTAAACTGAATTACCAGTTTAGATCTGCTTTTGCTGCCACCACCCAAATAGTTTGAGTGATTTGGGAAACTGTCTTCTCCCCCAAAACCTTTCCCTCCCTGGGTAGCCTTGAGAGACTTCTTCACCAATTTCCTGGTGAACACCAATTCAAATCCTTGGATCCTAAAACAAGGAGAATTTACCCATCCCCCCCTCCTTTCCCCCACCAATTCCTGGTGAGTCCAGATCCAATCCCTTTGGATCTTAAAAAAAGGAAAAATCAATCAGGTTCTTTAAAAAAAAGACTTTTAATTAAAGAAAAGAAAGGTAAAAAAATAACCCTCTGGGCAATAGCATACCAGCTGATCTCACAGACAACAGATTCAAAACACAGAGGATGTTCCCCTGGCAAAAACTTAGTTACATAAAAATTACCCAATTTGATTATTCCCTAATGCCCATGACAAGTTACAAAGAAATAAACATAAACCTATTTATTTCTTTCACTAATACTCACTACTTGATAAGAGGCTGAATTCTGGAGCTTTCCCACTCCGGTCAAAACTTAAACTGAACTAAACAAAGGAAACTTCCCTCCTTCCTTTTGAAACATCTTATCCCCCCATTGGTTCCTCTGGTCAGGTGTCAGCTAGGCTAGGTGAACTTCTTAATCCTTTACAGGTAAAAGAGGCATTAATTCTTAACTATCTGTTTATGACAACCTCAATGTGCTCTTCTTATTGCCCTGGTGTCTGGCTGCTCAAAATTGGCTTCCAGGCAATCTGCCTCCATCCCCTACCCCTCCGGAAACTTTTCTCCCTTCGTTTCACAGATATTATGGAGCACACAGCAAGCAGCAACAACGGGAATATTGCTTTCACTGAGGTCTAACCTAGTAAGCAAACTACGTCAGCGGGCTTTTAAACGTCCAAAGACACATTCCACCACCATTCTGCACTTGCTCAGCCTATGGTTGAACTGCTCCTTACTGCTGTCCAGGCTGCCTGTGTACGGCTTCATGAGCCATGGGAGCAAGGGGTAGGCTGGGTCTCCAAGGACAACGATTGGCATTTCAACGTCAACAACAGTTATTTTGCAGGCTGGAAAGAAAATTCCTTCTTGCAGCTTTCTGAAGAGACTGGAGTTCCTAAAGATGCAGGCGTCATGTACATTTCCTGACCATTCCACATTGATGTTGCTGAAACAGCCCTTGTGATCCATCAGCACTTGCAACACCATTGAGAAGTATCCCTTTCGGTTTATGTTCTCTTTGGCAAGGTGGTCTGGTGCCAAGATAGGGATATGCGTTCCGTCTATCGCCCCACTTCCTTCCCAGGAACTTTATGTAACATGGGGATCCTGACAATAGCCTCCTTTGTAAAGGACATTGAGACCCTCTGAGGAAATGAGCTACAGAAGAGGTAGGTAGTCTTAGGGTGCAGGTCCAACACAGGCTGGTCTGGCCCCTCTCCTCAACAAGGGGTCACCTGCTGCTCTGGAGATGAAAGAGTCTTGGTATCTCCTCAGCCACAAGCCCTTGTAATGTCTTAGGGACGATCTCCCTCTGGGTTCCTGACCAGGACTTCGGTTATTCCTTCCCCTGAGAATCCACCCTTAAGATTGGAGACTGGCCACTTCCCAGGGCTTTGGGAGATGAGTCAGAGCTGCGGGACACCAGTGTGGTGCTGAGGTGGGTCAGCTACTACTCTCATTTACCCGGGTGCAGGGCAGGAGTAACTCTACTGAATTCAATGGGGTTACGCCTGATTTTTCTGTGGAATATTCCAGCTGCTGGGGGTGGTTCTAACAAGGTTCCCACACCCAGGAAAGACACTGCTCAGTATGTTCTGGGGTAGGAGTTTGCTCATGGCTAAGGCTACGATTATGTCCCAGAGGGCACGGACATGAGGTCTTTCCCCTTCAATTAGCTCTGCCCCCCAATAATCCCCACCCTAGAACTGACCAGGGGCCAGGAAGTTTCCTAGCCTGATGGGGGAGGAAGGCCACGGGGCACCTCCCCCGATGCCTGCGCTGGGCCCTACCTGGTGAGGCCTCACTGCCCGGGCCCCACTGCCCGGGCCCGTCTCCTCCCCAAGGGGCTCGGCCGCAATGCTGATCATCTTGACGCCGTGGAAGGGGGTTGCATGTGGCTCGGCGGCGTGGACGGGGAAGGCCGTCTCCACCACCAAGCATCCCCGGCTGCCCTGCGGCTGGTAGTGGGGGACCCCCTGCAGTTGCTCAGCCACGGTGAGAAGAGGGGGGACCCCTGGAGCTCTCAGCCACTGTGGGAGATGAGAAGGTTCTGCAGCAGCCCATCCCCCGTTGGGCAGTGGAGGACCCTCGACCTCCCACTTGCCGCAGGTGGCAGGGAACCGGAGCTCCCTGCTGCTGCAGGCGGTGGGACCCCCCACAACTGCTCAGCTGCCGTGGGGAGCAGGGGACCTCGGAGCTCCCGCTCACCTAAATAATACATGCAAACAAACAGGATGAACACACTTAGTAGATTACAAGTTTTCTAAAGACACCATACAAGGGGTATTTAGCGTAAAGTATATTCCAGTTATGTCCTATTCAGAAGCATATTTCCATAAAGCATATGGAGCGCAACGTCACAGGGGGCTCCAGCCGGTTCGGTTTTGTATTGGAACCCCTAGGTATTGAACCCAGCCCTGGTTGCTGCCGACTCCACCTGGCAGACGGGTTACTCCTGGCAAGAAAAGCAGAAAAATGACAATAGGTTCCAAAGCCACCGAAAGTGTAATGTGCAAACTGGTGGGTTGTCTCTGGGAGGCAACACACAAAGCCCCTGGCTACTGTCCCATAGGGATAATGGAGCCAAGGGAAATTCTTCACGGTGCTGACTGCTCACTGGGGATGATCCGTCTGCACTGACAAGGATTCAATCCCAGGGAACAATCTGATCTATTCAGATCATTACACTGCAAGAGCCAATGCCTGCCTAGCCCACAGTGAGTGACCCCTGGAGCTCCCAGGAGAGCCAAGGGAAGGGAACGCGGAGGTGCCAGGACAGGACATTCTGTTCTGGTGCCTAAGACATCTAGGATACTCCTGGATAGTGACCGACTCTCACTAACACTTGCAGTGACGTTCCCAGCTGACTCATAACCAATCCTGCGTCATTCGGGGGACACAGCACCTTTACAGCAGTGATGAGACCCAGCTAGAGATGACTGTGTCACAGGCTGGTATTGGAACAGAGCAGAGGACCTCTTACCGTCTTGGTGCTGGTGGTGGGGACAGCAGACATGGATAGATCGGATGTCTGAGATTTCGTGCTGAACATTCGGAATCCCTTGATCCATCTCCTGTACTCCTCTCTCACCTGGAGAGCGAGGGACACGGTCACTGCACTATGTAACTAACTCTGAGAAGATCAGAGATGGCCACCGCGAGTCCAGTGAAGGTGCTGGGTGGGCGCAGACGGGCCGTGGGCATTACCTGGCGATTGAGGAGACAGTGCACCAGGAAGATGAAGGCTCCCTGCAGACTGTTGATGATGGTGAATAAATACGCCATGACCATGGCTGCTGGGCCGACTTGGAGGAGACCAAGGCTCCATGTGCAGCCCAGAATGAAGAGCTGGGCGATGGCTTTAAAGGTCAGTAACCTGGATAAAGGCAGATGGAGAGATCCCGTTACAATAACCCTATGGAGAGCAATTGGGTCTGGAGGATCTGGGCAGTGTGGGGTGGAGCTACCATCCCTGGCTTTCCTGTGTGGGACAGGGTTACTGTCAATGCAAACACTATGGGAATTCATTCCAATGGATCCTAGATTTGCTGTTCCCCTCCTGCAATCCCTCACACCCTCCCAGTGCCAAGGACCTTCCAAACCAAGGCATCTGATCCTCCAGGATTGTTTTGTTGCCGTCTCACCTGTGGTCTCTGAGGGTGGACACATCTGCATTGAGGGAGGAGAGTCTGTTTCTCAGGATCCACAGGGTCAGGGCAAAGAACGTTATATTTATCTGTGGGAACAGTGGGAAATATTTCCTGTAAAACATCCCATCCGGGGCCGGTGACTCCAGCAGAGGCAGAGAACGATCCCAGGGGAACGAGCCGAACACTGCACAACCGGGGACTGCTCATTTCTGGTGGGAATCATCCCCTCTCCTGTAATATCACTTGGCAGCTCTCTGTCCCTCCCCATGCGTGGAGCTGACAGCACAGCCAGGGCTCAGATGGATCAATGGGATCACAGAGGTCAGATGCTGCTCACAGTTAAATATGGAGCCTCTCCAGTGGAGTCAGGAGTTATTTTGGGTTTACACTGGTGTAACTGAGAGTAGGATCTGGCTCAGAGATTCCAGCTCCTGCCTCTAGAAAACTTCCTGCCACTTTCGGGCTGTAACAAATTCCCTGCCCCCGCCCCTCCCCCCAACTTCCCCAGGGGGTAGGGAAGAACATGTAGGGACATTTGTTTCCCCCCCTACAAAAACCACTGCAGAGTGCAGCCCTCTCCCTTCCTCGTTCCTTGGGTCATTAACTAGACTAGACCAAACTCTTCTGTCTTCACTTGGCAAAACTCCTACTGACGTCCATGGGAGCTGTGCCCGAGTAAAGGCTGTAGGCCTGGGGATACAGCACAGGGACTAATCCTGGGACTGACCACAGCAGATGAGTCAGGTGGGACCTAACTGGGTTTTTCCTTGTGTTTTATGGGCCACGTTCTCCTCCCTGCTTCACTGAAATCAATGGGGTTGCAGAGGTGAGAGGAGAATGGGGCCCTGTGGTTCTGGGAGGTACCCACCAGGATTATGGCACAGACTGGACCCAGGAAGCTCCAACGAAAGCCTCTCTCCAGGCTGAGCCAGCAGCTAGCGGGAAGGAGGAAGAAGAAGGTGACGTTAATGGGATTACTGCCCTTTTTCAGCCCCGGGGGCAGAGAGGGGGGGTCACAGGGCATCTGGCTCTCAAAAGCGAGATGGATCTCAGCCTGCCTGTGACATGGCCGACTCTCTTGTGGGCAGCAGGTGAACAGCCCTCGCCATGAACCTCAGCATCTCCTGCTTTCAGCCCCCACTTCCTCTTCCACCTCCTCAAATGACCCTTTCTGGTGGATGGGCGCAGTATTGCTGGAGGACCAGACATGCAGCGGATGGACATTGGCCTCGCTGCACGGAAGGAAGTGGAGCTGCCCTGATTTACACCAGCTGAGGATCTAGCCTGGGGTGTCTAGAACACGCCACGCCCTGTTTTAGTGAGTCGCTCACTTTAGAGAGGGGATCCTCAGGGATCTGCACACAGGTGCATTTGTTTCCTACCCACCAGCCCCATAAACCCAGCCTGGGACCCGGGAGTCAAGCTGGGATCTTTCTGGCTTGTTCTTCCACATCATCAGTGGGGTGAGGAGAGTAGATGTCTGATAGGTGGGCAACTCAACTACAGCGCTCGGGGCAGCTTAGTGTCCCTGGGGATGGGAACGGTTCCAGGGGGACATTCAGCTCCCAGGCAGGGTGAGCAGGGAAATCGAGGGTCAAGTGAGACCTGGGGTGAGCCGGACAAGCGCATGGAAGCCACATCCCAGCTCCCCTTCGGGATGGGCGCTGCACATACTGTTTGGACGTTCCGTAGCCGTCAGGATTCACCGCTGCAGAAATAGCCACCACCAGGGCTGGGAATCCGTAGCCGAACGGGTACATGAATCTCTTCTTGAACCGGCTGGCGCTGATGTAATTCACGACCTTCAGGTTCCTGACGGTGAGGAAGAGGTGCAGCCCCTCCAGCAACATCCAGCTGAAGCAGGCCAGGAAGAGGTAGTGTAGGAGGCCAGCAATGACAGCACACGGCACCTGGGGGAGACAGAGAGCCCAGGGACACTGCGGTGGGGAAGGGAAATGCTGAGTATGGGGGAGACCTGCCGGGGGGGTCACACTGGGATTATAGTTAGCAGAGCTCTCCAGTTATAGCGCTCTGTGACCAAGAGACGGCAGGTTCCTCGGTCTATGGAGGGTCCTGCGGGTGCACATTGCTGATGCAGGAAGGGAGCAGAGATTGAGTGGTTAGATCAGGGGAGCAGGGCTCAGGGGATCCAGGTTCTGTTCCCAGCCCTGCCACAGAGTCTCTGGGTGATCATGGGCAAGTCACGTAGGAGAGGAATCGAGGCACAGGGAGCTTGTGATATAGGGATAGAACTGGCTTAACTCCGGGGGATGGGGACACTCAGACCACTGTGCCCAGTGTGAAGGGGCCTAACAGGGGGTGGAAATATCCCCCCAGGAATCCCCCTTTTCCTGCACAGCCCAGAGTCCAGGGAGCACAAAGGGGTTCAAAGCCTCACACCCCAGCCCTGCTGTGAGTGGAGGAACAGAGCAGGGGAGAATCAGGCCGTACCGGACTGCCGGTGGGAGTCACCGTGGTGAGGAAGAGCAGGTCGGCCAGGAAGAGGCAGAGGCAGAGCTGCAGGTGGAGGGAGGTGCTGACGTTGCGGATGGAGCGGCACAGGAGGAAGGTGAGGATGGCGAGGAAGAGGCACAGCAGGGAGAGGGACAGTCCCATGTAGGTGATGATGGTCAGTGGGTAACTCTCCTGTAACACAGCAAAGGGAGAATCACCAGTGACCCCAGCCCAGCCCCCTGGTTTCCGACTCAGCCTTTTCCCCAGCAAAGCCTCCAGTCGCTCCATGGAGAGCTTTGCTCACGGCTGAGTGCGGAGCTCAGGGTCCAGCCCTGTGATCCGAGTCTCACGGTGAGATACCGTCACTGTGGTGGGAGCCATTAGGATGGCGAAGCTGGAGAGATGGTCACAGCTGCAGTTGGTGTGAGTGCTGTTTATGTGCACGGTGGTGCAGCCGTCCGGAGACCAGCTGCCGCTCTCGGCCACTACTTTCCAGTAGACGCAGAGAGCCTCGTCCTTCTCTTTTTTGGCCTGGAAACACAACAGAATCATCCTCATCCTCCCAGGACCACAGAACATCGTTTCTGTTATCACATGTCTACAGCAAACCTGAGGCCACCTACAGCTCCACGGCTCTCTCCACGCAGCCCCCAGTGCCCACTGGGGCCAGCCCGGTGACAGCGGAGAGAGAACGCAGCTCCTGCTGCTGCAAAAGCACAGGCCCTACTACTGGAGCAGAAGGGAAATAAACCCTTGCTAGCTGTTAGCACTATAATGAACGTGGCACATGGCTGAGCAGTTCTGACTGCATCCAGCAGAGGGCAGTGCTCTGTGCACACATACACATATGCACCCTAACCACTTTATTACTGTATCAAAGTGTTTCATAATGATTTCTTGAACACCACTATCTACAGAAAGTGGCTTTCCAGTTATTCCAGCTCATAAGAACATAAGAACGGCCATACTGGGGGTCAGACCAAAGATCCATCTAGCCCAGTATCCTGTCTACCAACAGTGGCCAATGCCAGGTGCCCCAGAGGGAGTGAACCTAACAAGTAATGATCAAGTGATCTCTCTCCTGCCATCCATCTCCACCCTCTGACAAACAGAGGCTAGGGACACCATTGCTTACCCATCCTGGCTAATAGCCATTAATGGACTTAACCTCCATGAATTTATCCAGTTATCTTTTAAATACTGTTATAGTCCTAGCCTTCACAACATCCTCAGGCAAGGAGTTCCACAAGTTGACTGTGCGCTGTGTGAAGAAGAACTTCCTTTTATTTCTTTTAAACCTGCTGCCCATTAATTTCATTTGGTGGCCCCTAGTTTTTGTATTAAGTGAATAAGTAAATAACTTTTCCTTATCTACTTTCTCCACATCACTCATGATTTTATAAACCTCTATCATATCCCCCCTTAGTCTCCTCTTTTCCAAGCTGAAAAGTCCTAGCCTCTTTAATTTCTCCTCATATGGGACCTGTTCCAAACCCCTAATCATTTTAGTTGCCCTTCCCTGAACCTTTTCTAGTGCCAGTATATCTTTTTTGAGATGAGGAGACCACATCTGTACACAGTATTCAAGATGTGGGCGTACCATCAATTTATATAAGGGCAATAAGATATTCTCCGTCTTACTCTCTATCCCCTTTTTAATGATTCCTAACATCCTGTTTGCTTTTTTGACCGCCTCTGCACACTGCGTGGACATCTATCCACAATGACTTCAAGATCTTTTTCCTGACCTGTAGCTAAATTAGCCCCCATATGTATAGTTGGGGTTATTTTTTCCAATGTGCATTACTTTACATTTATCCACATTAAATTTAATTTGCCATTTTGTTGCCCAATCACTTAGTTTTGTGAGATCTTTTTGAAGTTCTTCACAATCTGCTTTGGTCTTAACTATCTTGAGCAGTTTAGTATCATCTGCAAACTTTGCCACAGCCATGTGTCATGGTGTGACCCCTGGTAACCTCCTCCAGTAAAACAGCCCCAATGCATCAGGAATAAGGAGGTCTCCGCTTCTCAGGACCTTTCTGGCAGCACGGTCCAAATGCCCGGCAGGAGATGGTGCCTTGTATCTGCACCTCTGGAGCCCCAGATAGGGAGCAAAGCGAGGGGATCTCCCTCCACCCACCTTTCTGTGGCGCAGGGTGAAGTTTGCGGGTCTGGAGAGGTTAATGGGTCTCCCGTCTCCGATGGCCCCACTCACCACCCTGGAGTTGAGATGACTCTTCTCCAGCTTCCCTCCAGCCCGTAGATTTCCCTCGCTGAGACTTGCATTGATGATGGAGTCCAGGCTAGAGTAGGAAATAAAAACAGCAGCCCCCAAACCTGCTGGGAGAGGAGATGATCCCTCGTTAGGGAGCTGGGGACGCTATGGCAAAGAATGAGCCGGCCGGGTGCCCAGGGGTCACAGTGAGTCTGTGGCAGATCTGGGAATGGAACCCAGGATCCTGGCCACAACTCTTAAGGTTTAACCACTGGACCGTGCTACCTCCTCCCCCGGAGCCCCCAGGAACACGTCCGGCTGGAAACGTCGAGCTGCAGGATGCAGAGATGAAGATTCAGTTTTTCTCAGTGAGACCAGCAGAGGGTCTGGCCAGGGATGAGCTTCCCCTGGTGCTGGAGAATTCGGGGCCCTGAATATGGCAGCTGAGGGTATACGTTACCCTGGTCCCCACATCTCCATTTGTGGGTCTGTCTAGACCAGGCCGTCCCTGCCCTTTCCATTCTCTGGGCCCACTTCATACCAGAGACCCTCTCATGAGCCGTCTCCCCTCTGCCCCCAACTCCTCACTGCTCGGGGCTCAAGCTGTGGGACAGGCAGGAACGAAGGTGTCAGCTCCATGGCCACAGCCTGAGAACCACTGGCTCAGCCAGCAAGGAGCCCTCCAGGGCTAGAGACAGAGGCCAGGGCCCGGCCTGGGGATCCATGGGGAGGGAGGGAGGAACGGGGGAACCCAGACTGGGGTTCGGTGCCAGGGAACTGCTTTGTGCCGTGGTTTGGGCCCTAGGTGTCTCCAGCCCAGGATGGTACCTCGTGTGGCTGCCCCGGTGACTGTATCACAGTGCACGACCATCGTCTCCTCGTGAGCTCTCAGCGTGAAGACCTCGCTGTCCCGGCTGCAGTTCCCTGTGACGAGCCGCGTCTGGACAGCTGCGGGGGGTGGGGGTGAGGAATGACAGAGCCCCTCGCTATGAAACCCCTTCCCTGGGAATCTGTCCATTCTGGGCCAGATCCACCCCCGTCCCACTCCACTTGGAGCCGGGGGGCTTCAGGGCTCTTCCGCACTGTGGGAGGGGGAAGTTTGGAGCCCCCCCCAAGTTCCACTGATCACCCCCCATATTCCCTCCCCCCATTCTGTCTCTGTCTCCCTGGGGATGCTGCGTCCCCAGCAGGGGGAGTACTGAGGGTGGGGGGAGGTTCCTGGCTCAGCATGGCAGCCCCTAGTGGTGGAATATCAAATATTACATTTAAAGCCCTCTCGGGCATTGCTGTTGCTCCGGGGGCACGGGCGGGGCTGGGTTATATTTCCTGGGGCAGGGGCAGTGCTGGTCTGTGTCTGTACTGAACACAGGCTCACATCCACAATGGTATATAGGCTCTAACTTCCAGTGGATTTGGGGCACAGTGTGTAACCCCATATCTCACGGCAGCCAGCAGGTGGCGCCGAGAGCCAGACGTCCCCCCTCACCCAGAGACTCTGTCGTCACGTTCTGTGTTGTCCTCTCTGGAGACCGGAGCGCAGTGGCCAGTGAGGCAAGTTCCACGCTCTGCAGCAGGACTGTCACGCATGACCCCACGTCCCCCTTGTCTCCGCCATCCCAAAGGGAGGTGCTGTTCAGGATGGAGTTGAAAGAGCGAGTCGCGTTCTGGGGACAGGAAAGGAAAAGCCCTGGGAGCGAGGAGTCCGGGGGTTCAGGTGCCACGTCCCGTGTGTTCCCAGGGGGTATCGGGCATCACAGCCTCTCCCAGTTCAGGGGGCTGCAGTGCTCTCAGAGCGGGAGCCCTTTACAAAGGGGGTCCACTGAGGCTGACTTGGGGCCCCACTGGCACCTGAAGCCAACTGGGGCTAGAACCCTTTGTCCTTCCGTCTTCGCTCCCCCTCCCACTCCCCCATCCCTCCATTACAGATGCCAGGGAACAACATTGTCACAAGCCCACGGCTTCCTAGGCTGTCTCTATGCTGCATCCGGCAGCTGCTCAGAAATGTCTGGCAGGGCAGGGATAGAGCCCAGATCCTGCTGCGTGAAACACTCAAGTCACTGACAAATGAGCTGAGGGAGAATCCCCATTAACTGTTAGCAGTATAGCACCTCTGATGAACAACAACAGTTCTGAACACTAGAGGGCGCATGTGGGTGAACAAACACAAATGTGCACTCACAACACTAGAGGCCATGTGCGCGCAGACACAGACACAGACAAACACCACTAGAGGGTGCACCCCCCCCTCCCCACAGCAGTGCAGGGCACAGAGCTTTTCTGAAGAGTATCTACATGGCTCCCCCCCCAGATGAGACTCCTAACCCAGGACAGCACCACACAGGGCTCTGGGGCACACACAGGGGCACTAGTCTGCAGGGCACATTCAAGGAATGGAGCCTCTCACCTCCAGTGATAACGCCGCACTCCCATCTCCACACGTGGACATCAAAATCTCTAAGGTCGAATTGAAGAAAGAGCAAAAACTGCTGCTTCCACCGCTCCGCTTTCCCTGCGGAGAGACCCAGGGCAGAGGGTGAGTTCTGCAGGCGCTGAAGGGCGACTGACATTGGTGTTTGCCTTATGCAGGGGCCGGATCCTGACACCCCTCATGGAGTGAATAAAGCTTTTCTACCAGACGTGTCCAGGACATGTACGATGGTGCTGTTGCCACAGCGCGAGGTTCATGTGGCGAAAGGGAACAGTTTCTAGTAACAGCTGGAATAGATCAAGGCTTGGGACTAAGCCCCTTTTTGTTCACGTCGGTGCTGGAGGCATTGACAGAAAACAGCCAGAGAGTGGCCCCTGGCACATGCCTTTTGCAGATGACGTAGTGCTCGTGGGGGAGAGGAAAGAGGAAGTGAAGGAAGATACAGGGAGACATGGAGATGCATATTGAAAAGAAATGGCATGAAAATCAGCAGAAGAAATCAGAGTATATGGTCTGTAGATTCAATGCTCTCCTCAGGAAGACAATGGGCGTGTAAGTCTGGGACCAGCCACTAGCAAAGCTACAGAAGTTTTAGAAGGTTCGATATCAATTTGCAAACCCCTAGAAGATAATAAGGTGATTAGTAACAGTCAGCATGGATTTGTCAAGAACAAATCCTGTCAAATCAACCTGATAGCTTTCTTTGGCAGGGTAACAAGCCTTGTGGATGGGGGGAAGCGGTAGACGTGGTATATCTTGACGTTAGTGAGGCTTTTCACACTGTCTCACATGACCTCATAAACAAACTAGGGAAATACAACCTATATGGAGCCACTCTAAGGTGGGTGCATAACTAGTTGGAAAACCATTCCCAGAGAGTAATTATCAGTGGTTCACAGTCAAGCTGAAAGGGCATATCGAGTGGGATCCCACAGGGATCAGATCTGGGTCCAGTTTTGTTCAATATCTTCATCAATGATTTAGATAATGGCATATTGAGGACACTTATAAAGTTTGTGGACGATACCAAGCTGGAAGGGCGTGCAAGTGCTTTGGAGGACAGGATTAAAATTCAAAAGGATCTGGACAAACTGGAGAAATGGTCTGAAGTAAATAGTATGAAATTCAACAAGGACAAATTCAAAGTACTCCATTTAGGAAGGAACAATCAGTTGCACACATACTCCGCTCTGATTAGGCCTCAACTGGAGTATTGTGTCCAGTTCTGGTGCCACATTTCAGGAAGGATGTGGACAAGTTGGAGAAAGTCCAGAGAAAAGCGACAAAAATGATTAACAGTCTAGAAAACATGACCTATGAGGGAAGATTGAAAAAAATTGGGTTTGTTTAGTCTGGAAAAGAGAAGATTGAGAAGGGACATGATAACAGTTTTCAAATACATAAAGGGTAGTTACAAGGAGGAGGGAGAAGAATTGTTCTCCTTAACCTCTCACGACAGGACGAGAAGCAATGGGCCTCAGTTGCAGCAAGGGCAGTATAAATTGGACATTAGGAAAAGCTTCCTGTCAGGATAGTTAAGAACTGGAATAAATTGCCCAGGGAGGTTGTGGAATCTCCATCATTGGAGATTTCTAAGAGCAGGTTGGACAAACACTGTCAGGGATGGTCTAGATCAGGGGTGGGCAAACTTTTTGGCCCAAGAGCCACTTCGGGGTTGCAAAATGGTATGGAGGGCCGGGTAGGGAAGGCTGTGCCTCCGCAAACAGCCTGGCCCCCTTCCCCTCCCCCTTCCCCCTGACTGCCCTCCTCAGAACCCCTGACCCATCCAACCCCCCCTGCTCCTTGTCCCCTGAGCACCCTCCCACCCCTAACCGCCCCCCCAGGACCCCAACCCCTAGCCAAAACCCGCTGCTCCTTGTCCCCTGACCAATCCCTCCCGGGACTCCACTCCCCAAAACCGTCCCCCGGGATCCCACCCCCTATCCAAACCCGTTCCCTGTCCCCTCGACCTGCCCCGACCC